TGGGGGCAATATGCTGACTCTCTGTAAACCGCTTAGAGAGGGCTGAAAGGCCTATGAAGCGGTATATAAGTCTACTGCTATTGCTATTGCTATATAAGTCTAACTGCTATTGCTATTGCTTCTGCAAGCTGCTAAGGGGTGGGGATGATGTAACCTATCAATCTTGCATCTGGTATGTTTTCATAACCAGAAGAGTCAAAAATTCATAAGAAACCAAGGTCTCTATGGAATTTTGCATACAGACATTTCTATACGATTAATGCTCCAGAGATCCTCTTTCCCTGCAGAAATTTAAATGCAGGGGGAGGAGATGCCTTAAATGCCTTTAAAGCAGATATGATGGGACTTGAAAATCCACAAAACAGAGCAGTATTCCTATTTCTCACCTTCCAGTGCATTGATCCTACCCTGCTGATAGTTGCTCTCTTGTTCTAACAAAGTAATTGAATGGCTCAGTGCTTGAAAAGCCTGCAAAGAAAATTTGGCACAAATGGGGTTAACGTCAATTATGATACCAAGACAACAAGATCTCCAGGTTTATGCCAGCTACATACCTCTGTTTGAGCAAGGAGCTGTGCTTTGATGAGCTCCACATCATTTTTCAGTACCAATTGGGACTCTGGAATTGAAGCTACAAGAGAGACAATGATTCACATACTTTTGCCGCACACAAATGTGTAGCTTTGGATCTTTTTCCTCACTAGATAAATGAACAAGTTCAATGTTTCTGACTCATTTAATTGGGTTCTTTAGTTTTAAGACTTATGTGGAGAATAGGTCACATTTTAGGTCATATTTATGTAAAAATACTGAAAATTGAAAAGGCTTCACAAAAGTACCACTCTAGTTCTTTTTTAAGTAAGCCTGTTATTAATAGCAAGCCTTAATTCTAAAAAATGAAAACGCTGAGCTTCATCTTCACGTCTACTTGGAGAATTAATCCCAGACACTACTTGGAAATCTTTTGCTTTAGCAGTTATTATTGCTCAAGCATTTTGAGGAAGAATCCTGCCCTGCAAAAGAAGGAACTGGGATCTATTTCACCTCTAAGGAGCAATAAACATCCCTTTCTAGTGAGTGTGGATTGGTAACTCCCAACAGAAGACAAGACATTAAGGATTCAAGTGAGAGTAAATTCAAGGAGGGCAGTGAAGAAATCGGATATCTGAATTAATGGCTGAGCCGAGTTCTTTTGTTTAAGGATCTAATTTGGCTTTAAAGAAACATTTCTTTGGGCAGTCTTTAGCAAAATAGAAAAAATACCTCACCAGATGGACTCACTTCTCTTTTCACTTCCTTCCTTCTGGAGCGTCCCGGTTTCATCAGCCTGTTTACCGTGGGCTTGAAGCACTTCCCTTGGGTCTATCAGGGATTTTGCGATATCCCTGAGACCAGCAAGGCTTTGTCTTCCTGATCACCATCTCTACGGGACGGTTTAGGTCTCAATGGACCCCCCAGCAGCAAAAGTGTCAACGGCGGTCTCAGAGTATCGAGACCGCACGTTGTAACATCACGACGTAGCTCCTCCCTACCTCTTTTTCAGTTATAATATAAATATTTTAAATAAATAAATTGGTAGATTTAGCAAAAGCTCAAAAAGGACCATGTCACCTACCTTGTGGCTCCAACCCAGCAAACTCCACCTGGAAAAGAAAGTTCCCATCACTCAGTTCCAAATAAAGCAACAAGCTCTCCAAAAGTGAGGACTCTTATGGCATAAGCTGCTTACTTTCAACAAAACCCCTTCTCATAAACTGTATTCCTTTACTCATACTTCTTTCATTCATGCCTGTTTGGGAATATTACCTTTTTTTTAAAAAAAAAAAACCTAAGATCCGTGTTCTCTTTATTGCTCTGCCTGCCTGCAAAAGAAAGACTTCTGGAATTCTGACAGTGGATGATCCAATTCTCTTCAAAAGAACTGGATCATCCTCTGTCAGAATTTCAAAAGTCGGAGGGTAAACAATCAGGAGTCTGGTAACCCCTTTTTTTGACTAACAAATTCCATTAAAAGGTATGAATTTTCATGAGCTGCAGCTCAATTCTCAGCTGCACAGAGCACTACCAGTATTTCTCAACCTTGGCAACTTGAAGATATATAGATTTCTATTCCCAGAATTCCCCAGCCATCGCAGTCTCCAACAAGGGCACCCACAAGATCAGAGTTGCCTTCATAGGCCCTTCTTCTAATAGGCTACATGCCATCCTGCCCATTTGGATTCTACACAGAAGAACATTTGCATGTTGACTCTACCATTAGCATACTTCTTAAGCTCATGCATGCTATAAAACAATACACTTATTTTGGGTTGTAATAAGAGTAATCTGAGTATAAAATGGTATAAAATCAGATCCAGGATATTAAAGCCACCACCTCCCCTCACTGCAATCCACACAGGGACGTGCAGTCACTAGAGGCAGGGGAGGCGTGGCCTCACCAGTCATGAGGAAAAGGAAATAATTTTAAAGAATTTTTAAAAAATAATTAAAGCCAAGGTAGTTGCTACCAGATTCATAGAGACTTGGAACAGTGCTTTGTGTTAACTATAGGAGGAGGCCAGAGAAATAGGGGCCTCCTGTGCATAAGCAATTTTTCGCCTTTTAAGAGTTAAGCAAGGGTTAACAAGCAAAAAATTTCGTATGCAAAGGAGGCACGTGTTCTTTCGCCTCCTGTAGAGGGCATTTTTAGAGGCCTTTTAGAGTTCTCTGGGAGCAACTAGCTCAGTCTGACTCAGAGCTCTGGCCTTTCATGAGGGCAGAGTTGAAATCCTCTCTGAAACAGCTGGAAAAGGTGCATGTGTGGGGAGGGGGGAGGAATTCAAAAAGTTTGATCGGAAGACAGCAGGGGAAGGGGGGTATGGCAGAGGAGCTGCTTTCAAGCCTTTGGAAAATATATCCAATCCAACTTCTGTGTTTGTGTTTGTTTGAGAGTGAGTGAGGGATCCAATTTCTCTGTGTGCATGTGTCTGTTTGAGAGAGGGGGGAGGGAGGGAGAGAGGGAGGAAGGAGGGGGAGGGAGAAGAAAAAGAATGGGAAAAAGTATTTTGCAAGGGGGAAAAATGCTGTCGCTTTAAATCGGAACTGAGCATGCCTGGCTGTGGAATTCTGGGAGTTGAAGTCCACAAGTCTAAAAAGTGCCTCACCGGCCATAAAGCTGACCGCACGTCACTGAATCCACAAGATAAACAATTCAAATCGTTTTGATTTCAAGAGCTTAAGTGAGACTGGATGCTCAGAGGTCTGGCCATAGCGATGGATGAGTTACTTGTCCATTTGGCAGGCTTTATGTTGAAGGAGTAAATATTTACTCCTCATGTCTCTTGAGCAAAACACAAACACTATTTCCTTGCTACTATTTCCAACAAGATACCTACTGCTGATGCTGGGCTCCTGGCCCGAGCTAAGCACCAGTTAGGAGAGTTGATGTGATTCTGTTCATCCTTGGCACGTGTCATTGTAACTGACCTCTAAGACAGAGAAACAGAGAGCTTAATTTAGAAGCAGAAGCAAATATATGAGAGCAACCTGGTGCAGAAAACTGGGGCTTGAAAATGGAGCCCAGCCTTCTTCCAAATCCTTTATTTTGGAAGACCAGCACAAGGTGCTTGTTCCTTTAAAGGGACAATATGAATCCCTTCCTGACTACGGTAGAAACCATCAGGCTATACTTGCAAATGCCCATCCCTTCCCATTAGCCCCTGTAGAGTTGGTCTGAGTGAATTAGGATCTTCAATTATTGACAAGATGTGAAAATATATTTAACCCATAGCTTCTGTTTATTAGCTGGCTATATCTCACATACATTCCGCTGTTAAGAATTTCACTGAGAACATTAGAGGAATAATTACGTAGGGCACAATACTTTAATTTCACTTTTAAAAATTATTTTAACCCTTGTTGAACCTAAACAGGTATTATTTAGTTACATATTGTATTTTCCTTTTAACTTTCTCTGTGTTTAACTACTCTTGGAAAGGTATACACAATTGGATGGACCCTCTGAAACCATTCATATATATAATATAAATAAATAAAGGGAGACTAGTATAGATCTATTTCAAGCTATTTAGCTCTCATCAGCTTGCCATACCCTTACTGGGATTTGAACCTGTGCTGTATTACAAATCCCAGTAAGGGTATGGCTAGCTGATGAGAGCTAAATAGCTTGAAATAGATCTATACTAGTCTCCCTTTATTTATCAGCACAAATGCAACACAAATGTAACAAAGGCAACAATAAAAATAATGGCTTTCTGTCGTGATGGACTCTTGTGCCGAGCCGATGGACAGAGAATGGAAGCAGTGAGCTTCCTCCCATATGTGGGCATACAAGGGGTTGTGACTTTTATATATATATATATATATA